GTGTAACACTCCTTACTTGATTTTATCACATTAAGTTATAATTATCTCGCGACGCGAATGAATGTAGGGGTATTATATACCTGGCAGAAGGAAAGGAACTTTTGATTGGGAAAAAAAAAAAAAAAAAAACCAGTTTCGAGATTAATATTTTTCGCAATTTCTATTCCTTCGTAGTAATGTCGACCGCCTTCGAGAATTTAAGTCAAGGTTGAATCTCCCGGCACTAACTCCTAGCTAAAACGTGACTTTGGCTTACGCGAACGCGCACAAATATTTACGAGCTTTACAACTTGCACTTTATGTTAAACCCGTTCGAGAGAAATCTTAGGAGGCATTATGTCGTCGTAACTGCGTATAATGCTAGACTTGGCGGGATTACACTTGACACGTTGAAAGTGACAATATCCATCCATAATGACACGTTATTTCCAAAGAAAACAATGACAGGAATATGAATTCTAAAAATATCTCGACTCTTCAAGACAACTACACTTTAATGATCGAATCATCTAATACGCGCGAAATGAACTTAAATATGCGTTTACATAATAATAATAGAAATAATCACAGCCGCGCTTTACGGTTACTCCGCGCCACACTTTGATGACTGTTTTACGAGTCATTTAATTGTGGAAGTACACTGATTTTCTCGACATAAACCACGCTGCGTAAACGCTGTGGAATATAACGATAGTTTGCGATTACGATCGTTCGCTTTAACGTGATACGTTACCGACTGCAGTATCGCACGATTAAGATATTCACGCGATCGTTAAGACAATATAACAATTATTATCGGTGCAGCGCGGCGCGGCGGAGCTATGTAATCGCGATTTATACTCACCGTGAGTTCCCCACATTAACGCGATTTATTTACATTGGACATTATTATCGATCTAATGCCTCAATCCCCCATACCTAAATGTATCGCGCGCACCGTTTTTTACCGCGGTTCTAAAATACCCCGAGAAGAAACTTCGAATTATATTTCAAATACATTACAAGCAAAATCGGAGATTATTATTGCTGATAATTTAATATTATAAATTAAGAAAATTTTTGTACGCGCCAATTGTCGAAAATGATGCATATCGATTTGACGCATGCAGTCCGACACGTACTAAATTTTCACCGGCATTCTTATCAAAATGGCATATCTAAATAGGCAATTCGTCTCTTTCCAGCAATGCGCGCTAAGTCTATATTTCCCCGTCACAAATATAATCGCGCTGGAGCCTCTCGCTGTGTTTGAAATCGTCACCGCGGCGGCTACGTCCTTCGGACGAGGCGTGTTTACGAAAGCGATTTATCGAGTAGAATTCGCGGAAATCAGATTAGGGCCCTTCGCGACCCGACGCGAATATTTTTCACGTCCGTGCTAAACAGTTTTTCCTCTCAACAATTAAATCTTCACCTTTGCGACCGGTGTAACAGGAACGACAAATAGGTGCGATAATAGATAAACATTCGAGCCGCACCGCGACCGGAGTAAGAAATACTTGGACGGAGAGAAGATCGTCGTCCCATTATTCGTCGCGCGTGGCAATTCAGACGAGAGAGCGCGCGGTTGTTTCCGTCATCGACCTTCCTCCGTTGTCATTCGCCCTCGGCTAGAGTCGGCTGCCGGCAAGCCGCGCGGGACGCACTCACTCACGATTGTCGGCGTTGTATTTCTCGGTCACAAAGAGCACGATCACGAGAGTCCTCGGCCGACGACGCTCACCTTGACCAGGCAGCCAGCGCGCCTCGATCGGTCGGCGGAGTCGCGCCGCGGCGCAAGTGCGACCGCGTGATCCCAACAGGTTTTCATTGTCGACCCGCTCCAAATAAATTCATGCATTGCTCACCGACACCACTTTTAATAAAAGCGTCATGCGTGATTTTAATCCTCCGAAAAGAAAGACTATCGGACTCACATCGTGGATCCCAGCCCATTTCGAATTAAGCGCGCTTCAGAGGATCAACGGGGAAGTTACATGGTATCTCGCGACCGATTTTTAACGAGACATAAGCACGTGTAACACTCGCGATAAACTACGCGACAGGGCATTTTCAGGCGATAAAATTAGACGATATACTACATTTTCTTTTTTGTAAGTGAAACTTGCGCAAGTTTTAATTCAGAGATTTATATATACTTCGAAGATATTTAAAGTTAAATATTAAAAAGTTAGGTTGCAGCGTCGTATTGAGTTTTCGCTACGAAAAAGTCAATTCCGGGACTGGTCGACGAATCGGTGAGTAATAGAAGGTACGGAGAGTTCGACGCGCCTCGTACGTTACCTTACCACTGAATTACATCGTCAAGAAAACGACAATCGGATTATTTCTCCCTTCAGATTTTCAATGTGTATCTGTGAGAAAGTTACAGTGTAGACCGTCGGAGGATGACCGAAAAAACTTATCGTTCCGCGCCTTTCGTCACTTTGCTCGCCGCGATAATTCGGGGACCGATTAGATGACCCAACGACGCGGTAGATATTACGTATCTTGCGTATCATCACGTAACTCTCTCCTCTCCCTCCCCTGCGCCTTCTTGCCTCACTTGAGAGAGAAAAGGAATGCTTTGTATAAACTGCAATGCGCTCGTCATTGTATAAATTCTTTGATTGCAATTCGTATGTTTTACTTCGAAACAAATAGCGAGAACAAGCACAAATGGCGCGCATTGCGTTAATAACATTTGCCGGAACGTTTAATTATCGAAAAGTACAGCAGTGATGTCAGTAACAAATTAATTTAATTTCATATATTTCGGATAATTGAAAGATACAATCACGAATCAATAATGAGCGACGATCAATGTACAGCTATCGTTACCGCGACTGACGATATAAATAATTAATACATAACCATAAATGTTGCACGCGATACGAGATAATGCTATTACAGCTTAATTACGGGACTGTTTTTGTCTTATTTATTATTTACCATTATATTGAATGTTTCAAAAGAATTTTCAGTATGTATATGTATACATACATATCAGTATAGTATACATCAGAATAATTTTTCATCATTAAAAATGCCGATGCACCCTTCAAGAACTTCTTACGCTTTTTTTAATATCTATACTTATTTGCAAATATTCCATTGATGATGCATACCTGTGCAATAAACTCTAACAACACTGTGTTTCATCTTTTAAATCACACTATTCGCATATTCGTCAGCATATTTAATCACCAACTTCCGTCTAATTTATATTGCAATGATCACAATTACGTGTGAGGGGATAATTGCATTTAATTTACGTTTATTTTTCTCTTGGTTCTGTATCTTTGTGATTTTCTTTTTTTTTAAATTATTCCATTAATAGAGCGCGATACGCTGTATACTTTCGGCTAAATTTATAAAATGGTTTGTACAATCAACGTGCCACCACTTTCTTTGCATTTCCTCTGTATCGATATCTGCGATAGCGAGAATGTTTTGGTCCAGAACATTAATTAAATTCTCCTTTTCTCGTAGTAACGTGTTCCATAATAAAGAGATTTAATCATTTCAAGATCCAATTTTATGATTAAGTTTCTGAGCGCGCGAAGCTCACTATTATAGTAGAATTACTTAATTACTAGTCTCGTGTTTATCTTGAATTGATTTCTGACTTTTGTGGTTCTTTTATTTATTCATTCGCCACAGAATCTCTAGGATACACGATTGTCTTGCCTTGCCGCGGTCTCGCTTAACGTTTCTATCCGATTCACAGCTTTTGATATATCATTTTACCCACGATGCCGGTGCTCACGAGGAGGATTTGTAGTAAGTACGCGTGTCTCTCTTTCTCTCCCTCTCTCCCCCTTACACGCTTTCGCTTGTTTTCGCCTCGTGCAGTAACCGCGGACACGCGACTTTTCTCTCTCTCTCTCTCTCTCTCTGTCTGTCGTTACGCAAGCAGTTTCGTACATCAGACGTTGACCGACGGACAGCAATACTCTCAGGTTCCCCTTGATACTTCTGGTTCACCCTATGCACCTCGTTTCTTTTCTCTCTCTCTTTCCCCCGTTTTTCTCTTTCTCCCTCTCTTTAGGTCGCCCAACATTAGACACTGTCTCGTTCAATCAAGCTACGAGCTCGACCGCAAACACACACGAGTTTCGCACGGGACACGTGTCTAACTAGCGTTGTTAATCGCAGTCGAAAGAACACTTCTGCCAGTAGTAGTCGTCGACGCGTTATAGTTGGTTCGTATAACTGTCCCGGTATGCATAGGTGCACACGAGAGCATGGGGACAGAGAGCAGAGGGAGGGGGCGAGAGATGAGTGTGTGAGAGAGAGAGAGAGAGAGAGAGAAAGAGAGAGAGAGAGAGAGAGAGAGAAAGAGAGAGAGGGTACTCGGATAAAAGATATGATGAAAGAAAAGCAGAGATTGAAACCGAAGCAATTTCAATTGAATGTTAATTCTTCAAAATCATTAATCACGACGAGACGCATCATGTATCCACGTGTCACGTCCAAAGATAGAAAAAAATTCTTATCATGTTTATTCGTATCAAATGAGCGAGATCATCGAAATTATCACCGGAGTTTGAATGGATCTTCGGAGAAGCGAACAGCGTTGAACGCGGGGGGGAAGCGGTCGGATGAGAAGACAGGTCGGCGGGAAAATTCGAAACCGCGTGTGTATGGTGTGGCGCACGCGATGACGTCGCGTTTTGCCGAAACGTGGACGCACAGGTGGCTACCGGCGCCTGTCGCAGACATGAGGGATAAAATTTGACAGACGAGACGAGCGGGGGAGAGAAGGAGGGTGGATGCCGCTAAATGATACAAAGCCGGACGGCGCGCTATTCGCGCTCGCCGGCAAATCCGTCATCGCGGATGCGTGCCGAGTGCGCTTTTTAGGAAGATACGTATTTGTATGTGTGTACATGTGTATGTTGTATGTGTGTGTGTGTGTGTGTGTGTGTGTGTGTGTGTGTACGCGCGCGGTGTGCGTGCGTGTGTGTGCGTATATTTATGGCACGCGTGCGTGCGTGCGTGCGTATAATAGTACTTACCGGAGTTGTAATATTCCTTAAAGTAGCGCGTCGCCGCACGTTGGACGATCGAGTAATACAAGTTCACGTACGACGTCGACTGGTTCTGCGCCGAGAGCGCCATTTACACTGTATTATCTCCGCGCGCGGGTCACCGTGTATGCATATAAATATGTAATATCGTGCGCGTGTATGTTTCACGCGCGCGTACGCGGATCACGATGCGCGTGTAGCGCGATATAGTAAAGCGCGGCTCGACAACGTGCGAGCGCGCGGCGCCCGGTCTCGTCGGCTTGCTCTTGCTCTTGCTATGTCTGTCGCGCGGCGACGATACGTCCTCCTCCTCTTCCTCCTTCGCCGCCTCTTTTTCTTTTTCCTTCTATCGTCCCTGCTTTATCTCTTCCTCGTCGTCGCCGTCGTCGTAGTCGTCGTAGTCGTCGTCGTCGTCGTCGTCGTTGTCGTCGTCGTTGTCGTTGTCGTCGTCATTCGAAAGCGAAACGATGGCCGATGGTACTGGTTCCTAACGTACGTGTACCGAGTTTCGAAAACTTTCATTCGAAATGTTGACTTCTGGTATCCTTTGAATTTTAAATAACAAGCAATTCACGGCCTCCGCATTGGTCAGCCTGTGCTTGTGCTTTATCTCCGTAATGTTAAAACTTGATCTCAACTGCGTAATGGCCGGGGTCGGCCCTTCCGGTATCTCTCTCCCTACGCAGATCCCAGATCGAGAAACATTGCTTCGTCCCTTTCATTTTAATTTTTTCTTTTCCATTCCACTTTTATTTGAAAGTCAAACTCGGCATTGAAATAATTCAATTCGAGCGA